AGGAAATAGAAATCAAATTGAGAAGAGAACTTTTACTGTCATTGGTTTCATTGTGTATAGATGTTGGATGATGATACAGTTGAATTTTCTCATGCTAATTCAGATTGTCAACGGAAACTTACAGTTTTTATATATATCAGTGGTTTTCCATACAGTTCAACAGTATGTGAACATTATCAAGCTAGTAGAGAAGAATTGTACTCCTGAACTATCAACTCAACAATATAGAAGATCAAAATCAACAACACTGTAGGGGGATGCAATGATATATACACAGCACCACGAATCAAATCAAATTTGGCCAATTTCGATATCGAAAAGAATAGTTTGTCATGTCAGCATTCCATGAGGTTGTTTCACTTGCAAAATGAGGAGGGGGGAAAAAAGCTAATAAGAACCACGCCCAATTCAAATCTAGGGCTTTTTCTTATCCATGCGTTATATGAGCATCTGCAAAAGCTATAGTACATCAAGAACCAGTACCTGTCAGCACTCTGTGACAATGATAGGAATATGATCCTTCAAAATGCCGATATTTGTATAGAAATATTCCCTTGTCTCACTCTTATCTTCATCATCTCACCATATAATCTGCGATGTGGTGAACTGACCTTGTGTTTCTTCCTTTTTATCTATTTATATGCATCCTTTTCTTGTCAAGTATGAGAAAAGATATCATTCCTTTTAGCATATTTATTCCACTTTTCTTCATGCTTAACCTTGAGTCCTCTCAATAACAAGAAAATGCTAAGGATGTTAGCTTTGCATCTAGGTTAACACGTCAATCGATCTCTTCAGGCATTATTTTTGTACGGCAACACTTGCAAGTTGTATCACATAGATTCTTATGCATGTGTAAGCAAAAAAGCCAAACTTGATTTAGTACCTCATCACAGCTATGTGAAGAGGTACTACTATATATAGTAGTATAGTACTAATCTTTGGGGTCCTTGAAGAGCCATTTATCATCAAAATATTCCTCTGTCGATCAAAAGGTTTATAGATATCTAGAACCAATAGATGAGAGCATGGTTCCTAGAACAACACATGATCAGATAAGAAATAAATCTTGAATTTTCGAGAAAGGAATACAATTAATGAATTTGAGAATGCTCTAGAAATTGACTTTTGAAGGATGCATGAGTATGTAGTGATACTTATTGGCATCAGGGAATAAAGTTATAATTGTAGTTGTATGACAGGGAAGATATACAAAGTGATCAAACTCACTTGTATTATCTTATATTTTTTTAGAAGGATAGGGACCTTAATTAGCCCAATTTTATTAAAATAGAAATTTGTTTTATCTTAATTGCATATTTTTCTTGGAAAATATAAATTTAAGAACATGTATATATGTATGCACTTATCTCCTTGTTGACCCTAATGAGAAATTTTTATGTCAACTACGTTATCAATTTTCAGGATAATCGTCTGTTCTAAGCTATTCTAAGAATACAAAAGAACCTCAAGTTATGATTAATTTAACTTATGAGGGTTGGTCCTCTTTCTATATATAGATGCCTTCTTCTCTATTATCAAAAGAAACATATTGCTTAGACCATACATTTATCGTCAACAAAATGTAAGAACGTAACTCTAGTGTTTACCTTGAAGCCCACATCACATGCACATCAGGTTTCAATGAGAGCAAGAGACATGATTCTGAATTATCCATATTATTGCCTGGAGCAAGGTTTTAAATATCGGTTATCGGGGATTTATCGGACGGCCAAAATCCTTATCGGATAGCGGAAATCGGGGATATATCGAGGATAAGTAGTATTTATCGGAGTGATATACTGGATGATGTGTATATATAATATAACAATTAAAAAATGTAATCTAATCATGCTTAATGAAATATAAACATACCAAAATGTAAATCATCATGTTTAGAATCATTAACCAATTGTAGAAAGCGAAACTTGCATCATAGCCTTGAAAAAATATAATGTTAGTCAAAATGGGCCGATAATCCCGATAAAAAAGTCTTACTTATCGGCCGATAAGTGCCGATAACGCCGATAAATCGCCGATAAACCTAGAAAAACGATAACTGATTAAAAATCCAATTTATCCTAGCGGAGAGCTACCAAATCCGATAACTCGGCCGATAATATCGATTATCGGCCGATATTTAAAACAGTGGCCTGGAGTGACCTATTCCTCATGAATGTTCAAGAACAATTTACTCAAAATACGCCTAAGTAACATATACTTACATAGTAGCACCAATTCAGAAAAAAGGATCGTTGTTCTCAATTTTCGGAAAGAAAAGGAGATTCAGCCCTTATATCAATGGATAAGGACCTTTCATTGTCAAATATATATATTCCCAATTTCAGACAATCTTTGTTCATCCCTAAAAGTTCTAGAATACAAAATTTTAACCCCCCAACCTCACCACAAATATGAAGTTTTGATATAGTGAAATGGTCCTTTAAGATGGTATCAAAGCAATCCAGATTCAAATCCTATTAGCCATGAATTTAAAGCAAATTTAGAAAGGGGAAAAAATTACACACTAGCTACATGAGTCCAGGTTTTGGTTCACAAAAGAGCGCTCAACTGCAGGGGCATGGTTGACTAATATGATATTGGATCATCTTCCATGCAATCATCAGTAGGGCATTTTGAACATATACAAAGCGATTCTAACAGCACAGTCTTTCCTATTTTCCTCCACTTTAAAAGAAGGAATCCAGCACCAAAATCAAGACGAACACCAACCCCATAACTCCCTATAAATACCAACCCTTGTGTGTCTCAAACTCCAACCAGAGCACTCAAATCTTCCTCAATCACAAATTCAAACATTCTTCTCTCAGCCTTCACGTTTCTTTACTTGAGAATTTTTTGACGTAATGGATAGAGTAATGAAGTTGGCATCTCAAAGGGCAGTGGTGATCTTCAGCATGAGCTCATGTTGCATGAGCCACACCATCAAGACTCTCTTCTTCGAGCTCGGGGTCAATCCTGCAGTCTATGAGCTTGACGAAGAGCCGATGGGTAGAGAGATGGAGAAAGCTCTTGTCAAGCTTCTTGGTCGCAAGCCGCCAGTGCCAGCTGTCTTCATAGGTGGCAAGCTGATCGGATGGACTGATAAGGTTATGTCCCTTCATCTCGAGGGCAATTTGGTCCTGTTGCTTCGTGATGCTGGTGCCCTATGGCTCTAGACATGTAGCGTCGTGATCTTCGCTTTTGGAGTTATGAGTCTGTGAGTGAGAACTAAATGTAGTATGTTTTGCTTGATTGACATGCGTACGTAATGTTTTTAATTTGAGAATGTTTGAGAACTCAATGTAGTATGTTTTGCTTGATTGACGTGTGTTTGTAATGTTTTTAACTTGAGAATGTTCGGTTAAGTTCTTGTAATGAAGTTTTGGAACGTTTGACCTTAGTACAGTTTATCTTAAAGAACATTATTTAGTCTTACTGCTCTCTCTGTATATGTCTCTGCGTGGGCAAATTCTTGCCTACACTAGAAGTAGGCATGATGCCTACGCTAGAAGTAGGCATGATGCCTACGCCCCTCCAATAGGAGGGAAGCATCTAGGGGAGATGTGGGCACACCCCCACTGCATCTTAGCTACTCTCGGAGTAGCTAAGAATTTTCCCTGTGTGTGTGGAGATTCATGTCATGTAAAAAAGAGCTCCATTACGAAAACTTTTTCAAAGCAAGGAGTCAGGCTCGTCCATGAGGTCCCAGAAGATGTTGAGGGGGAATCTCTACCCCGAGGAGGTAGGCGCCTTAAGGTTATGAGTGGCCGAGATCGCTACCTAGCAGGTGAGGCAGAGAGTGAAAGCCAAGAAGGACCAAGGGCTGAGTTGTAGGCGTCAAAAATTGTCTATAAGTTCCCGCACGTAGTTCGAAATGGAGAGAAGGCGATGAACGCTATTACCCGAATCAGAGAGGATTATCTAAGTCAAAGAGGATTATCTGATGCTATAAAAAAAATCGAAAGAATGCACGTGAAATATCAAAACATGTGAAACAACGAAGAAAATACAATAAGGAGGGCTCAAGGTGGCTTGCACACGTGCGGGTCACTCCAGAGTGACCCGCACGAAGAAGTGAAATTTTGACTATGATGCGATTTGAATATGAAAAATCTTAAAAGAAAAAAGTTGTAGCTCTCTTCGTTAGTTTTCCTACGCATATTGAATCACTTTATTTTGAGATCGAACGAGAGAGTTAAGGTGAAAATACCACCCGGGTCACCCTAAGGTGACCTGCGCACGTGCAGGTCACCCTAATGTGGGCCGGACGAAAAAGTACTTTTTTCAATATGACCCATATTGAATCTGGAAAATCTTAAAAGATAAAAGTTATAGGTCTCCTCATTAGATTTCCAACGCATCTTGAATCACTTCATTCCAAAGTCAGACAAGAGAGTTAAGGCCAAACTATCATTTGGGTCACCCTAATGTGACCCGCACAGGGCCGGGTCACCCTAAGGTGACCTGCACACCCGCGGGTCATGTTGAACAGACTCACATCCTGGTTTCCAAAAATGCATAATTTCGATATTTGTTCGAAAGATCCTAGGTCCGTGCCAGCATACCTTGAGATCAAACTTGGTTTTGATCTCGAGAAGAGTAGTAATCTCGCTTGGTCGAAATTATTTACTTCTGCGATTATTTTCTTTGTGAAGCAAGAGCATTGATCTTTTATTCCGATCAACCGAATCTAATCCGCGATGGTCCATGGATAAACTCTAGCTCATGCAAAGATCCATTTGTTGTGTGTTGTTTGAAGAGAGAGTTATAATTTTCATTTTCATTGTGTAAGGAATCTTATAAAAAGTGTTTCCTTTTAAACTTGTTGTAACGATCGAAGTTATAATAAGTTTAGCAATGAATAAACCAACTTTCACCCCAAACATTAGTGAGCTAGCTGAGTAGGTCCAGGTCGGTTCGGCCGAAGAGCAACAACAACCGGCCGAAGAGCGATAGCCGACTGAGATCGTCATTATTGATGACGCTCCCCCTAGGCCAGCAAGGATGGCCCTAACGATCGAGGTCACTGAAGTTGGGGCTCCTGCTGAGGAGGCAGTTGGCCTAAGTTCTAGGCCCGAACCATCTTGCAGGCCAGGCAACAAGCCTGTCGGGACTTCGGGAGGTGGCAAAGAGCAAGTGGTGCCCCTTCTAGAATCTTTGGTGGGCGAGGCCGGCGAGGAGTAAGAGGACATCTACTGGCCTTTCCGCCATTGGATCGTGGGGCTTAATCCCTAAGTCTGGAAGACGTCCAGTGTCCTGCTAGTTGGAGTGCCGTCGTGCCCCTGTTCTCCCAGGAGGAGTTCCCAGAGGGTGGAAAGTTTGTCGTGGAGCAGTCTCTCGACAAAGAGAGCTTGGTCTTGGGGTTAACAACTTCCCAAGTCTGGGTTGTCCAATAGTTTGCCCTCCTGAGGGACAAGGCATTCTTGCAGAAGATGCCTAGCGTTGGCTTGCACTTGGCCCTCAAAAGTTACTTTGTCCAGGGGCGCTACTAGATTCAGAGCTGTTTAGTCAGCTCTCCTACATGTACAACTCCCCTCCTGAGTTGGAGGTGGGTTTGGCTAAGGAGAAGTCGGTTAGGAAGGAGGTGGAGAAGAGGGTTGCCGCCTTGGAGGCCGAGCTGAATAATAGTGAGGCCAGCTGGCATTGGGAGCTGGACATGAGAGAAAATCTCATCAAGAGGTATAGAACCCATGATGCCAAGCAGATAGCCTCCATTGAGAAGCTTCAAGGTGAGGTGGCCCACTTGAAGGAGGAGGTTGGCCGCCTCTAGCAAGGAATTTCTAAGCGAGACGTTCGCCTAACTTCTCTAGAGGGAGGTCGAGTCTGAGAGGCGCCTCAAGGTGATGACTTAGGAAGATGCTTGATCGAGTCATCTCTCGGCCGAGAAACTAAAGCGGGCCCTTAAGGAGGAGCGGTTGGCTCACCAGTCCCGCTATCATCAAGGACCTTGAGGATCAGCTCGCTCTCCTGGCCTCGAAGTGGTACAACGCGAAAGTAGTCGATGATTGGCGCTAGGGCCCCTTAGGAAAAACTAAGGTGGCCTTGGCTTACAAGGATGGTGTCGACTACCTGACCTCACTGCTTCCTCCTAGCTCTCGTCCTGTGCCTGAGCACTTTTATCCTCCCTAAGTCTCTTGTTGTCTTGACCTCCTAAGGGAGATTGAGGTGAGTGGAGGGGGGGGGGGGGTGGGTGGAGCTGTAGTGTATGGACGTATGGATGGATGATGATGATGAGTCAGGAGATGGGACCCCGAAGAAGTCCCTCCCCCTTTCTCTTTTGTATCTCTCGCCCTTGCAACCTCCGCAGAGGACCTCCCAAGCCCTACTCCCGGATTTGGCTGAGAGATCTGAGGGCTTGTATCTTTTTATTTTTTATGTAAATATCAACATGGATAATGTAATGAAGTTTGTAATTTAGACTTTGCTCTCATTCTGGAGTTTGCCTTCAATTATTCCTTGTTTTTGCTTTATTTGCTTGTTGCTTTGTTCTGATTGAGGGAACTGTAGGCATATAAAATTGCTTATAGATTCCTTAGCACAGCTCGGCACAAATCGACGAACCAACGAGGTTGACGAATCGCACGCAAGCAACGGAATACATCCATTCGCGTGTGGAATCAAGCCAAGTGTTCGAAGAGTCAACGAGTCATCCAACCAAGGGCAGACTCGGACGAATCACGATCGAATCAAGATCAGTTTCGGACTCGAACTCAGAAGTGGATTTACTGCCAAATCAGGAATCGGATTTACTGTTAAATCAGATCAACAAATCAAGTTCGGATAAATCAACCACAGAACCGGATCACGGACAGAACCAAAAAACAGAAGACGACGGAAAACCACGCCTAAGGGGGGCTCGGCCAAGAGCCGAGCCACCTATAGGTGGCTCGGCCCAGAGCCGGCCACCTATAGGTGGCCGGCCCAGTTCTGTGCCCGGGCACAGTAAAGGTGGCCTATAAATAGGAGGCTTGGTTCATTTGTTGAGAGGTTGGATTTTTTTGAGGCGAAGCCCTGCTGGATTGAAGACTCAGATCTAAAAAAGATTCAAACTTTAGGACTTCGAGGACTTGTTCATCCAGATCTGGTGCTCGGCGATCGTCAACGCCAAATAAGGCAAGAGTTCGAGAGGGTCGGATCTCAGATCTACGCAGGCGTACTCCGGATCAAAGCTTGGCCTTTGATCCGAGATTTGGGCGATTGTTTCCTTGGTGAACCAATCCCCCCTGGCTATTATTTCCTTCGTGAAATAATACCCGTCGTACTGCGTAGATCCGACCGGATCTAGATCGCGCGGTGGTCCACGGATAAACCTCGGCGCAGGTGAAGAACCCACAAAAGCGAGCGACCGCAAAACAGGAGCTCGTGATTCGTTCGACACAAAAGGAGAAAGTTATAATCTTTGTTTATTTTTCTTTGATTTTCGTTATAACCGGATCTTATAAAAAGACCGGATCTTTTGTAACTCAAAAAGCTGTTATTTAAGATGAAAATGGAATCAATTACAAAGAAAGACACGATTTTTCCCGCGAACAATCTGGCGACCACAGTGGGAGCCGCCGATCTCGCTGCCGAGATCGGAGCGTCGCAGCCGCGGATTCAGATCCCAGTCGTGGAGGAGGTCGAATACGATCTGGATCAACCTCCCCCCGCAAGTCCAAGAAGTCCAAGTTCTCCTCCAGGAGAAAAACTCGTTGGTATGAAGACGTTAAAAACACCAACGAAGATCTCGCCCCGTTTGATGCCAAAGTCGCATCGGGTGAGATTCCTCCAATTCCCAATCAAGTCGGATCTGCTCTGGCCAAACCTTCTGCCACAGGGGGCGTGGTGACTCTTTCGAAGAGAGCCCGCCAAAGGCAACGTCAATGCCTTGCGAAACAATTTGCAAAGGCCATGGAGTCTGTTGACGGGATCCGCTACAACGTGGATCTGAAGAACAGAGGAGGCAAACAGCCTCAACAACTGAAGTATGGCAGCTCCTCCAGGTCGCCAACGAACGAATGGATCCGGGTCAAACGGAACCGTTCGACACTTGAAGAGCGGATTCACAAACGCCGCGCGTTACTCGTACAAGCAAAAATTCTTGTGCAGGAGGCCAAAAAGTTGGAGGAAGAAAGAGTGGCCAAAAAGCCGTTACCAACCCGCCAAGTATGGGGGCCAAAGCAGCCTCCAACAAAAGTTCAACCACCGGCGAATCAACCCAAGTCGCCGGTAATTCCAATAGCTTTTCCGGGAGATCATGCAGAATCGTCCCAAAGGAAGAAATCAGTTTTGGAGCGCCTCGGTCCAATTCCCGACGAGAGAGGCAAAGCTCCAGTTCAAGAGAGTTTGGGCCCAATGAAGAAGCCC